GAAAGAGAGGGAGGGAGGATAGAAGGGCCAATGTTATTTTGAATTTCATGCAAAAAAAGGTCACTGTCTAATAATTTTGGCTTTAATGAAGCAATGCTCCAGACCTATTCTATAAATCAGCGGTTCTCAACCTGTGGGTCGCGACCCCTTTGGCGGTTGAACGACCCTTTCACAGGGGTCACCTGCGACCATCCTGCATATCAGATATTTACATTACAATTCATAACAGTAGCAACATGACAGTTATGAAGTAGCAACGAAAATAATTCTATGGTTGGGTCACAACATGAGGAACTGTATTTAAAGGGCCAGAAGGTGGAGAACCACTGCTATAAATGATCAAGGACTGAGAGTAGACTTTGAAAGAATAATATATCTTGCCCTGGCCAGAGCTGCTCAGTGCTTAGTATCATCTGCCTGTGAATCCTAGGGTTGTGGGTTCAATTCCCAGTAGGGGCACGTGCTGGAGACAACCAATTGACATGGCTCTCTCACATCTCTCTCTCTCTCATCTCTTTCCCCTTCCCCTCCTTTCTACTCTCTAAAATCAATGGAAAAAATATCCTCCAGTGAGGATTAACCCCCTCTCCCAAAAAGAATAACATTTTTTAAAAAGTAATTAACTTTTAACATTCTGAACCTATTTTCTATATAGTAGGCTGTTTAAATTCAGAAATGTTGAACAAAATCATTGCTGCCTTTCTTCCTCTCATTCTAAACACGTCTGGGAATAGACTTGGCTTGCACTTTGTTAAGTCTGTTTTGCTGAGAAAAAGTGTAAACAAAACAGTGTCAGCCACTTACGGTCTTCTCCAGAATGTCCCATAACGACAGCTGGCTCTGGAGCAAACCCCACGTCGTTCAGAGCCTGGACTTTGATCAGGTACGGAACAAAGGTTGGCGTGCCCGAGACAATATATTTGGATACATTTGCTACCACCACAGACGTCCATTCATCATCACCATCTTTCTGGCGCCAGCTCACTTTGTACTGAAGGCCTGGCCCATTTGCTTCGAAACCATTCAAGGGCTATAAGAAAAGCCAAATAATCAGAGCTTACAAAACAGATCGACTGCACAACCTTTTACAGAACAACAAAATCAATTCCCAGACTTAAAGTGAGCACGGAAACACTAAAATATAAGCTGCGAACATATTCTCCAGGGACCTTTTATCTTCTTTCATTTTTGATGACATTCAAAGCTTTTTTAGTGCCCACATTTCAAAGATTGTTTTTTTTCTATCTTGTAGCATATACCATATAAGCCTCTCAAACTCTGGCTCCACAGTCGAGGGTGGGTGACTTAAAACATTCAGTTACGTAGGTTCCTCTACATCTTCCTGTTTGTGTGACAGTACATCATTGTCTATTTCACTTGGAGGCTGAAACGTGTAAACTGCATCTATTCTGCTTCTACAGGTACATATATACATAAGTATGTACAAAAAGTATACTAGTATGAGCATGCATGAACAGAGCTATCTGAAGTTTTTAAATTATATGTTAATTTTCCAAGTCCAGAAAATACAGATAAGCAAAAAGAAAAAAAAAAGAAAGAAAAGAAGTTGACTATTAGGAATAACTTGGTACATGTCTTCTAGATGGTTCTATACAATGGTGATACTACTAGCTAGCATTTATTGAGCACATGTATGTGCTAGGCACTGCTGTAGGCATTATATGAAGTTGGTCCTATTATTATTCCAATCATACAAATACATAATGGATATGTTAAACAACTGGCTTAAAGTCACATAGTAAGTGGCAAAGCTGGAATTTGCACACATTCATTTTTGCTCCAAGGATCAAGATTTTAACTACTACACAATACTGTCTTTCAAATATATGCAATGCACATTTTCCTTCAAAATGGGTAAAATGGGATTTTAGTAGAGGTATTATTTTAAAATTAGTTTTTTTCACTCTAAAGTGTACAGAGGAAAGTTGAAGGCTTTATACATAGCTCACCTGCCACGTAATCACCAAATTATCGGGCTCTGATCCTAGTCCTTCCACAGTCATGGGATTTTTATCTGGTTCTAGAAGTTAAGCAACCACACACATGTAAGCTTTTGTCTTTTTCAAACAGTGGAAAACTTTTCTACTTTATTCCATACCACAGGAGTCCAGCTTCACCTGCAGCTTTGGTCAAATACTGTTCAGACGCCTCGCTGGGCAAGCTCCTCCCCAGGCTGTTCTCTGCCATCACTCGGAAGGAGTAGTTCACGTATGGAGACAGCTTCAGCTGGGCTGTGGTCTGCGTCCCCGGGACTTCCGTTTGGTGGTGCCACAGCCCCGCCTCGTGCATTGCGTCTTCATATTCAATGATGAATTCTGGACACAGCATACACACACAACAAATGCAAGACAGTGAATTCAGTCATTCCAGGGTAGGTTGCTAGAATAATGAATAACAATATAACTTTCAAGAAATATTTCATTAAGATATTTTGATTTCAGAGTTCTAGCTTCCTCTTCAATACCTAAGAATACTCAATAATATTTCTCTAGCGTGCTGAGTGTAGTTACTGAAAACTCTTTAGACGGGATCCACACATGGCCCTAGGAAAGTTTCAATATATGAAAAGATGGTCAATATTTTTCATTATAGAAGTTAAGGTAAATAAGTGAGAAACCATTTTCCACTAAACAGACTGGCAACAATCAAAAGTTGAACTTACTTCCTTGACGTTGACTATGACTCAGGGAAACAAGTATTCTCATACTTGGTGGGAAGTGTGAAGTGGCACAACTTCTATAGAGGGCAATTTAGAACATCTAAAATATTTAACTCAGATACCCTCTGCTTGAGAAATTGTGCTTCTAGCAATTTATTTAGAATGCATGCGCTCATACGTATGCTCAAATACACATGACAAAGAACCCACATTGCAGCACGGTTTGTGGTTGAAAGAACCTAATTGCAAACAACCTAAATGTTCACCAATAGGACACTCATTAAATAAATTATGGTGCATCCTCACAATGGAATACCCTGCTGCTATAAAAAATGAATGGAACTGCTCCATATGTACTAAAAAGAAGTAATTTCTAAAGTGTATTGTTAAGCCAAACCAAGTAGGATATAGAACACCGTGTATCGAGTACTACACTTGTGTAAAAGTAAAAAGATTTACTCTGACACATTCCAATATGCTTGCATGTACATGTATTACCTCTCAGAAGATACATACATACCACTGGTGTCACTGGAGGAGCTGGGAACCAGGGGTGGGAGGAAGACTCACATTTTAATTCATACCCTCTGCATCTACCAAAATTTTGTGGTATGTACATGTGGTATGTACCCTTATAAAATAGGTACCCATCAATTGGCTGCTATTTGCCATGTGCAATAATATGAATTGTAGATACAAAGGTGAATTAGAAACATCATGTGTTGCAGTGCTCCGTTCTTTCAATCCACACTAATTTGGAAGTGATGATCTCCAGTCTCATAAACTGATCACTTTCAGATTTATGGCTGCAGCCCTTGAAATGCAGACTTGTATAGTTAACTGCCTGCCCAACAACTCCACTTGTTTGTCTATGACAGCATCTCAGATTGGATATGGCCAAAACTGATCTCCACTTCCCTCTCCAAATTCATAGTGACAACTCAGGTCAAAACCTTGAAGTCTTTCTTAGCCCCCTTACTCTTTCATACTCTCAATAGTCCCGTTGGCCCTACTTTAAAATGCATGCAAATATGACCATTTTTCAGCACCTCCATCTCTCTCAGCCAATTTCAAGCCTCCATAATTTCTTGCCTGAATTATTGCATAACCTACTAACTCACAAGAACTTAAACTTTCTCAGTTCACGGTGCATTTAGTGTTCCGGTAATTTTTTTGATGACTCCCTTAGGACAAAAGAAATAATTAACATTTCCACGTAAGTAGTTAGGTTCATATAACTTAATAACTATTCATGTCTTACTATTGGGTACCACATAACTCCTGAAACCTTGTAAACAGATTGGACACCATCTTACTCATTTCCTGTTCCGCAGTGATTTTCACGTGGTCCTTGCAGCAAAGGCTTTGCAGAGATATGACATTATAATATGATGTAGCAATATCAGATTAAAACCATAAACGGCCTCAAGCCAACATTTCATGTGGTGCCTGATAGATGTCACTGTTTTTCAAATATCAAAATTTAAAAATAAAAACTTAAAAAAATGCCCTGAAGCACCCCTAGGATCCTGTGAGTTGGCTGAGGTTCCACAGGGTACTTCAATGCAGTTTGAGACCCAAGAGACTGTTTTCAATGGAATAACCACAGTGATCCATGAATCACTCCCTCTACTTAAATCCTTCCAATAACTTCCCAAACCCTTATATGGCCCTACAAGGCCTGCAAGTTCACACCTTATCCCTACTCACCAACTCTACCTCTTCAACCTTCTCTCCCTACTTCACCTCCTCTTGTGCATGTCACTCCAGCCGCACTGGCCTCCTAGCAGACACGCCCTGTCCTAGGGCTTTGCTCTTTTTCTTGCTCTCTTGGGAAAGATTTCCCCCCAGAAACTGCATAGTGTGTTCACTTTCTCCCTTCTCCTGTCTTTATTGACATATTCAAATGTTACCTCCTTCATGTGGCCTTTCCTGACCACCCTATTCCTAATTATAGCCCCGACCCCTGTCCTCGTTAACTTCCTTCTCATGCTTTATTTTTTCTGCATGACCTAGACATATACCACAAATGCACAACATATATACACATGCCACAACCAGGCGTATAGATATGTATGTGTTTGAGTCCTTTAAAAAGCAGATGCTGAGACAGAATTAGAAGTGCAAGAAACTCTGGGGGGAAATAACCATGGCAGATAAAAGAGAGAGAGCAGGGGTAGGCAGGGAAGATCTTCAGACTATGATGAAGGTCTGCTGTCCGTGACTGGAGACGGGGGAGGAAGGAGCAGTGTGTAGGAAAAGCCTCAGACTGCAGTTACAGCCCGAGCCAGGTCAACCAGGAGCCCAAGCCAAGTTCTGTGCTGGGTGCGGCTAAGCTCTAGGACCCTCGCTGTGCTCAGTCACTGGAATAGCTCAGGAAGATAATGGAGCAGCTCAGGAAGAGAGAGCACTGCGGCAGGTCTTTGGGGAAGGTGCAGCTGATGGAGCCTGCTGTTAACACTCCTGGCAGCAGGTTCTCTCTTGAAGGGAGCCCTGAGATGTGTGTGTGTGTGTGTGCGCACGTTACCCACATACATGTATACAAATATATAATAACATTATTTATAATAACAATATTATTAATTTTACCTTATTTGTGTCCTCAAACTAAAATAAAGTGCCATATGGGCAGATAATTTTTATTGTTTTATTTTAGAACAAGGCTTGATAAATAAGTCATTCCATAAATACCTACTGGATGAAGGGGTAAATGAAGGAATGAGTAGCAATGCCTTGATCTCTAATACAATCATTGTATCCTAGGTAAAAAGTCTCCAAGCAACCTAAGCAGATAATGCATTGAGTTAAGTGGAAGCCTCAGTTCATTAGTCTTTCTGAAGATATATACCTGAAGATAACAATATATTATAGGCATGTGTCTACACTCAAGTATCTTCATGGTTTTAAAATTTCTAAACTTATCTATAGGCTAATTTTATTAAGCTTTTCAAGTACCTTTCTGGTATGGTCCCTCACCTGATTTTATTCCCTAGACTTACGTCATCAAGGTGAGGAGTTGACAATGCTGATGTGATGCCACTTTGCAGTAAAGGATAATTAGAAGAAAGAGACCTGGGTCTGGAAGTTAACAGACCTGAGGTTAACACACAATTCTGTTACCAGTCGTGGGTTTGAAAAGCCACTATATTCTCTAAGTCTCAATTTCCCAATATATAGGCTAGGCATTATAGCACCTCTTACCCTTTACTCCCACATTAATGGGCAAAATGAATAACTTACAACGCATCTTCTTACAGTGGTAGAAATCTAAAGTATTCATATGGATCTTAAACACAGAATGATAGTGTGTTTGGTTAATTAACATCTTCAGCAATCAATTAGTGTCCCATATTAGAAGCTAAACCAGAAATAACTCTAGCTCGGAAGAGAAGAAAGCCATAAATAAATGTTTTTATTCTGTTAGTAATGAAGCAGAGAATGCCATCAAATATCTCTAAGGAATTTCAATTGCATATGATGAAGTGATTCAAAAATGGTCATTATTTGCATCAGCGATGAAGCGAATGGCACCACATACTTGTAATAGGGCTGTTGTTGTCATCGCCTGGGGTCCATGACAGCTGAACACTTTTGTCGAGTTGATCTGTCAATTCTAAATCAAAGGGAGGATTTGGGACATCTGTAGACCAAACACACATCATAATTAACCATCCATCCTTATGAGGTTGTCCTTTACTTGTGATACTATTCATAGAGGGGATGTGTTAAAGGCACAGCATACTGAATGGTCAATGAGCATGCAACTGATATGAAATGGAAACAGCTGAGGTTGCTGGGACACACAGCACACCCAAGACAACCTATTAGTGAGTTCTGCTTGCTTCTTTCTCAAATGAAACTAAATTACTTGTAACCAAAACCAGTGAAGGGGGTGTGGGTGGTTCACCAGCACTCTCAGTGTGTATCTTCTCATGAACATGAACGAGCAAAGACAGAAAAAATGATAGAGAAATTTAATTTCTAATAAATGAGAAACAGAATAGTAAATGGCTGAAAAACAAATACAGGCAAGTACATGTACAGTTCAAAGAAGACTCAAATGTTCTCCCTGAAACATGCTAAGTTATGGATTTGGGGGGCTCCTGAAGAAAATTTATGTTTTTAAGGGCATTCTAAAATTGATGCTCTAGAAGTAGCTCTCAGCATGAACACCGTATGCAGATATTCCGCACAACAGTCACATGGGACGGTGTGTTTACTCTCGGAGGACACACGGGTACAGACACCTTTTAGAATGAAGGTATCCCAGAAGCATGTCTGCCTCTCTTAATGGTGCCTCTGAGATCCAGAGAGTTCATGCTCCTCCCTGGGACTTTTCCTGACCTTGCTCCTGGGGTAACTTTGGCTCTTGGAGGAGCAGAGACCGTATAAAAATATGGGCACTTATTTCCATCAGTAAAGAAGCAATAAAGGCCTACAAAGGAAAGGTCTTCTGTAGCATAAATCTGGCTGAGTTTATGCCACAAAATTAATTTATGTATTTACATGTTAAATAAAGATGAGGGTTCCTTAATCAAAAATATTTCTGGAAATAATTTCTGATTTATTTTCCAAACTCAGAAAAATCACACAACTGTAAGCTGCCCTTTTCTTGTCTTTCTTTAGTGGTTTATCTTTTGTTAACACACAGTGAGTTGGTTTTCTCAGATAGAAAGGTCAAATGTTCTAAACATCCATGGCTTTCCTACATAATTTCTTGAAAATGGAATCTCAAAATATTTACTTTTCCAAAAAAACTACTAATAGACATCTATAAAAGCCTGATTTTTGTGGAATGATATTTAAAATAGCTTTTCCATTCTGTAAAATGTGGAGGATAGCTTTTGAGCAAACACTATGCTTTTTACAGGGAAATTATATCAAAGAGGGACATTTATAAAATGAAATGACTTTAAAATAACACATGAAATGTTTAGAAGAGAGTGGCAATATATTCAGTGGAAAGTTCCAGAGTTATAATGAAGAAATGATGCACAGCAGTAAAGGAGCAACACAACAGAAGAGGTGACAGCCCTTTCCTTAATGAAACACAAGATGTGATAGAGAAAATTAATTTTTCCGCAAATGTGAAATTATTTGACAGAAAATAGAGAAAGAAGACTCATTAGTTTACCGTAAATGGGAGCTGGAGTTGGAGTAGGAGCTAGAAAGGACATTAATATAAAGGATTTTAATCACAATTAGTAATGGAAAGATATACGATAGCACAAGATGACAAAGATTGAACATGATTAAGATTATAAAACGAAGCTTTATGCTTCACTGTGAGCCATGGCATTGATAAACATGCGTTACCAATTTAGAGGGGGGAACCTTCCATTTTAAATAAAAGTAGATTATACCCCCCAATTTTCTTATGCAAATATCACGCATCTGCATAAACACCATTTTATTCCAGTGCTGCTACAGAGTATAGTTACACTGAAATTATAGCTTCTTGGGTATCTCCCAAAGAAGAAAAACGAGTATTTAACTCACCAATGAAATTGTAAAACTCTAACAAGTAAACAGTTACTGCAGACAACCTTTCCTTCCTACCTAAAACAGCTGTGCTGTGAGTGTTCAGTTCTTACCGACAACGCTCAGCACGGCACTGGCGGAAACGTTGTCCAGCGTTGTGTTGGCCAAACATGTGTAGGTCCCACCATCGTTGTCACTGACATCGGTTACCACCAACTGGTCCTTGTCAACAGTGAACCTGTGAATAAAACACATTCTGAGCAACTGAAATGGGCATCTAACCACATTTGATGATTGTTTTACTGACATGAAACTGAATTTGGTAAAAGAGAAAGATGATGGAAATTTGCAGCACATTTAAGCTAAAATCTTATACAATAGGTATCACTTTGATAATGATTATAGTTGGAAAACAATTAGAATGAATTGTAACCTCAGGTTATGAGGGCTATTGAGGCATATGGTCCAATGGCGCTCAACCACGTCCCTGGAGTTTTGGGAGCTCCTTAGAGACCAGGGACATCCAGAGGTGAGGTGGGGCAGCTCCAGTTACCTTACTAGAGGGTTTCCTACGGCTTCTGCTGCTAAGAAACCTTTCAACACTACTCATCCAGCTCAATTTCTAGCAAAGTGTATATTTTATTTATTATTATTAATTTTTATCCTCACCCAAGGATATGTTTCTATTGATTTTAGAGAGGGTGAGAGAGAGAGAGAAAGAGAGAGAGAGAGAGAGAGAGAGAGAGAGAGAGAGAGAGAGAGAGAGAGAGAGAGAGAGAGAGAGAGAGAGAGAGAGAGAGAGAGAGAGAGAGAGAGAGAGAGAGAGAGAGAGAGAGAGAGAGAGACATCAATCAGTTGCCTCTCATACATGCCTTTCTGGGGATAGACTCCTACGTATGTGACCTGACTGGAATGAACCTGCAAACTTTTGGTGTATGGGATGAAGCTCCAACCAACTGAGCTACCCAGCCAGGGCACAAAGTGTATATTTTAAAATAATTTAGAAGTTACTGCAGAAATTTTGTGTCACTTTTACTACATGCATAAACTCTCATAGGAGAAAGTAAATGCAAAAAACAGGACCAGCTTTTTCACTAGAAACAGGAAGATTTAGATCAGCAATCACCACAAAGAGTTCTCTGGAGGTTACTGTGGGCATGAAAAATTGCTCAGTAGGTAAAAAAAAATCCATGTAAATAGGATTATTGCAGATTAAAAATAAATT